CAAGAAGGTGGAGCGGTAGATATAGGTGCTGGTCCATCGGTTGCATCTCCTGTGAGTCAGGATCCTTTGCTTGCAGCCCATGCCCTAGACCCGGAGGCGTGGTTAGAGGGCATCCCGTATGCATCAGGCGAGACGGGAGAGGAGGAGAAGGCCCAGTCTGCATCTCCCGAGGTTGTCAAGCCGGATGATAAACAGGAATCAGCTCTGGAAATGCTGCTGTTGCGTGACGTCCATGGAGCGCAGGATCCGTCATCGCCTTTTAGCCGCCACCCATATGTGCGGCTTCCACAGATGGGGAAAGATTTGTTCATTAGACCTATCAATATGAATAATGTGTTTGTTGCATATCATAAGAAAGCACATCCCTATATTTTTCTTCAGAAGTTGAGAAAGTGGTTTGCACGGCCAGTGCTCGGGCAGGATGACGTGAACAATCTCCTACGTGATCTGGAGGGGTTGATAGGCGCTGCATGGCGTGATGCGGAGAAACGTCCGAGAAGGCTTCGACCTGTGTACGCCGCTGAAACCCTTGGAAAACACCTGTTGGAGTTTGACGCGATTGTCTGTGGCATCGAACTTCTGGGGGGCAGCATGCGGCTTCCCTTGTGGTGGAATCGATTCGTAGCTGCCTTTGACCATAGGCCTTCTGCGCTTTTGCCACAAAAAACTCCGAGACTTGGGGGGTTTTACAGGAGGCTGACACGACGTCTATTAGATGCGCTGGAAATCTACAAGAGAGGCAAACGCCCACCACTTTGTGAAATCATTGATCTGAAAACTATTATATTTTCTGAGGGAGATGCACCTGCACGCTTCAGAGATCCCAAATGGGATCCTTGGCGCGAGGATGCAAAAGGCCCTTAGAACGGGGCGTATGTCTGTCCTCTATGCATTCAAATGGGAGCAGCGGAGATTCGTATGACGCCAATTACAGTCCATGTTTTTCCGCGTAGGGAAGCACATCTGGGCGCTGATCCGCTGGTTTGCCAACCTCGACTGATTCAGTCTAGAGGGGGGGCAGTGGAGCAATGTCGTGCAACTAAAACGGCCATAATGCTCGCGAAAAGCTGTTTTAGTATCTTCAGGCAGAGTTTGTCTTTGTACCGCTGGGCCATTGTAGTCTGGTGTGCGCAGGGTTTAATGCACACCGAAACTTTGCCTCTGAGAATCAATATGTTTGTTTGCGTTGTCGTGTACTTTGGTTCGTCTACTACGTTGCGCTGTGCTAGGCAATGTGTGACGNTTGTTTGCGTTGTCGTGTACTTTGGTTCGTCTACTACGTTGCGCTGTGCTAGGCAATGTGTGACGAAGCTTTGCGACAGCGCAAATGAACCTGCCGTCTCTTCATAGACAGGGAAAGCCTGTCTGTAATTGAGAGCATGGCGCTCTCCCTCCGTTAAGCACACTGCTTCTATGCAGTGGAACGTTTCCGTCGGCCCGCATAGATTTGAACCAGGTGCTAAGGTTTTATACTGCAGGGTTAAAGTGATACTGCGTATAGGCTGTCTCCGTCGTCGACGCAGTCAGGTTTCAACGCAGAGCACGTCAGACTTAGCTGCAGGTCAGGCAATTGCGTGCTCATATTGCCGCCGGACCGGCACATCTGAATTGTAGATGCGCCGAGTTGTGCGTGCAGCGAAATAAATATTTCTGCTTCTTCCGAAGCTAGCCACTGGAGCGAATAGCCGGACTCAGAATCCGACGTGCTCTGGGCTGTTGGCAGGCGAACGATTGCGAGCGAGCCTGCACAAAATACAAGGTTGTGGCCTATCAGCGCCTGCTTCAAGTGTTTGCGGGTCAACCGGAACAGAAATGCAGTGCGTTTTACGCAAGGAGGATCCGGCGATATCAACAGCCATTCGCTGTCGCTTTAGACAAAGCACGCTCATCTGCGGCAGCGGAAAGCTTCGTCGCACCTTGCCTAGCACAGCGCAACGTAGTACCCGAACCGGTGTACACGACAACGCAAATTGTGCATAAAGGCGAAGGTTCAGTGCAGGTTAAACCCTGTGCGCGCCTGAGCTAACGGCTCAGCGATAGAAAAAGAAGCTGCCACACGCTACGGAAAGAACCCTATACAGCAAAATTGCCCTCCTAGCGGTGCAACTTTTCGCCCTCCCTGTAGGCTCAACCCATCGTGGTTGGCAAGCCAGTGGTTGCTCAATATCCCGATGTGCTTCCTTCAGGAAGATGAAGCGGACAGTAATAAGCGTCCTATCAACATCGTGTGCTCCGATCTGAACACCCTGACTAGCGGCATACCCCCCCCCCATCCCTAAGAATATTTTCCATCCTCTCGCCAAGGATCCCACTGTTTGTCGTTGAATGACCCAGGGGTAGCAGACGAGCAAAACAGCAACTTTTTAAGTGCAATTACTTCCTGAAGTAGTGGGCGTCTCCCTGTTTTGTAGATATCCAGCGCGTTTTGTATTCGCCTAATCATCCTCCTGCGAACCCCCCCAGCATGATCGCTTACGGGTGGCAAGCGCGCGGAAGGATCGCCGTCAAATGCAGCTACGAATCTGCCCCACCACAAAGGAAGTTCCATGGAGTCCCCCAAAAGTTCAAAGGCAGAAACTAGCGCATCAAATATTAAGAAGTGCTGTCCACAAGTCTCGGCGGCGTGCACAGGACGCCTCCGAAAGGACTTCCGTGCCTGGTACCATGCTGAGCCTACCAACTCCTCTATGGCGCGTACGACGGCGTCCGCGTCATCCTGGCTGAGGACATCCTTTGAAAATAACTTTCTCAACTTGACCAGGGGGGGATGGAACTGTTCCTTCATCCGCATTGGATTAAAGAGATTATCTACATCGACGTGTTTAACAACCACATCCTTTGCCAGCGCTGGAAGTCGTACATACGGGTGTTTGCGAATATCCTGTGGAAGCTTCCACATTCCATATGATGTTGATGCCTGCAGATCACCAAACTCAACGATGGTGGGAGGCGCAAATGGCATCCTACCGTGCTGATGTTGCCCACTGGTTATATATGGAATATCCTCTAACCACGCTTGTGGCTCCAGGGCTTGGGCTGTATCCAAAGGAAGCTGGCTCGAAGAAGCTGCTAGGGATGTAACAGTGCGTGTGTCTCCAGTTTCACCCCAGTGAGGCTGAAGCATACTTTGCAACTCCGTCAGTTCTTCTCCCACATGTTGCTGGATTTGATCATAGGTGTTGTGCTGGGCTGATAGCCCATACCTGGGCAACAACATCCCTTGCATTGCTTCATGTTCTTCAGCAGCAGCGTGTAGAACAGAAACTAGTCCCTCTACCCGCGTCATCGGGTCGGCATCAGACTGGGTAATCACTCTTTGCTCCAAAACACCCATTTCGGCCTCCAATGCCAGGCAACCTTCTATGACAGACAACTCATCCTGATCGGCAGCATCCCCCCCCTCAGACAAACTACGACGTGCCGCCCCGGACGCCAGTTTCTTGTTGCGCCATGCAATACACACGGAAAAAGCAACTAAAAAGGTTGCGACGGAAATACAGGCTGCCAGAGAAAGCAGGAGCGGCCGACTCCGGAGCCGTGAGCGGGAACGCGCGTCCTGATGTCCAAATGGAGTTGGGATTATTGGAGGCTCCTCAGCTTCGTCATTCTGTGTATATGGAACTGAAATTCTGGGTATCGCGCCATTCTGGCGTTTTCCACGCCGCTGTACATGTGATACAGATGGCAGCATTCCAGAGTCACGGGAAGGTTCCTCGATCGAGATGCAGCCACGGCTGGAGAAATTGCCCGGTTGATTGCACTTAATACACCACAACACAAAGAATACAACATTGCGCTGAGGAAGAGCCGTTCATCCTTGACGAAAATAGGCATTAAGTTTAACTCTGCAACAACTGGGTGTCCTGTGACTGTCCAACCTCCTGTGGCGCAGCCAACAAGCCACTCTGCACGTCCCTGTTGAGTTTGCACCAGAGACCTCGCGTAATACGATCCTTCGCAAATTAGTAAATCAAATGCTAAGTGGGATGATACACAACACAGTGGAAGGTTAGGAAAAGTTCAGTGCGACGACCCGCTATGGCGCCTACACCAAGGCGGCTGTCCAATGGTCTTCTGCCTACAGTCGTACTTCTACTTGCTCGCAGGCTGGCCCCTAGTGGCAGAGTAAATGCTAAAAATTATTTCCCGGTTATACCAAATACGTTGCAAGTTGGCTTAAGTGTGCCTTCACTTTTATACATGTTATATGTACAAGTATATGTACATACATGCGTCTGCAACATCGTGTTGCCATCCTATCAACGCTGGAGCAGGGCTGGGTCCTTCCTGCACCCTTCACAACTGTTCCTACTGCCTTCCAAGCTTTCCTGGTGAAACAGAAGGAAGGCCTAATCTGCATATTGGAAACCGACAACAGCTCGTTCCGGTCCCATGCAGATAGATGTACCATGGCACGAAGAGATCTAAAAACATCGGTGCGTACAGAAACATTCGCGGCTAAAAAATAGTTTTCGCCGTGCGAGTGGACAGTTCGCTTCAAATAACGAGCCGTACCTCTCGCTTATGAGATGGCACGTTTTTTTGTGCCAATACAAAGCTTTGTCACAATTTGCCTACTGCAGCGAAACGCTGCTCTCCACAAAATCCTACGCACGGAAGAGCAAATTGATGAGTGGACGAACGCGAACTGTGTAACGCCAAAAAGAAGCAAGGGGCTGAGAGCCTCTGCCTCTAGTGCCTAAGCAGCGCAACACAAAAATGCTTATCGATGCTACGTCAGGCTACTCTCGAACGAGATCACCGCCTCCAAGGTGCGTCAGTGGCTCTAGCCTGTTCGGCTTGGCCACAATTACAGGTTAGAAAAAATGGTAGTTTTTTCTTTCGTGAACGACGGAAATAACTAAGAAGGGCTCGGCGCATCACGTCAACTAGTGTGGAGATACCTGCAAAAGCGAAAATATCTTCACGGTTTACTCGCATCCTGCATCCAGTCGCCAAGGATCCCACTCTAGCCTTCTAAACATCCCGGGCCTATCACGGGAACAAAATACAAGCTTTTTCAGCGCAACTACCTCCGTAAGCGGTGGGCGTTGCCCCGTCTTGTAGACACTCAACGCAGCAGCCAGACGTTTCGTGAGCCGCCTACACATGCCCCCCTGTCCTGACATTATTGGTGAGTCCAACTTCAAACGGGTATCGATGACTCCTACGAATCTGTCCCACCACAGAGGAAGCTGCATCCTGTCACCAAAAAGTTGAATAGCGCAAGCGAGCGAATCGAATGCCAAGAATAATACCGAGTAGGTTCCTGCAATAGTAGCTGGCCGTATGTCCTTGTGCTCACATTGCGCCTGAAACCATATCATGTTTATCAATTCCTCTAGAGCACTTACGAGGGCATCTGCATCTCTCTGATTCAGTGTTTTACGCGCAAACAGCTGCCGCAAATCGTTTAGACAAAAATAGGGCGGCATAAAATCCGGCTTTGGATAGAAGAGGATGGATGTGTTGAGGAGTCTAGGTACAACACCCTCCTCCAACACTGGCAGCCGAACATACGGATGACTAAGGACTTCCGCATCCTCAGAGGAACCTTCGGCAGACCCAGGACTTGGTCCCACAAGTGATGCTGACGAATGCCCACCCTCTGAGTCGCCTACATCAGCCGAAGATAGCTGTCCTAGTTCCTGCCCTTCAGCCTGAGTATTGGCGGTTTGAGTTGTTTCAACTCGAGTGGGCTCGGCCAGAGCTGGCGGTATACTACTGGATCCGCAAGGTTCAACGGGCGACACCAGTGGATCAGACTGCGGCGACTCCAGCACGGCAGTTTCAGGTTCTAACAAAGCTTCCCAATCTATAAAATCGTCGCTTACATGCAGCTCCTCTTCGCCGGGGGAACTGCCGTCAGCGGAGGTGACATCCCACGCCACTGAACTCCCCTGCACGGATTCATGGGTTGCTGCGGCTTCTGATAACATTGACACAAGTTCTGCTATCCGGCTTGACGAGTCACTTTCGGAGCCGGAAGAAGCTCGTTGATGAAGAATCCCCAACTGTTCCTCTAACTCCAAGCAGCCATCTATGATTGAGCCCACGTCTTCGCCGACACCTTCGAAACCCTCAGACAACCTGCGACGTGGAACCCCTGGCATTGGTACTCTGTTTTGCGCAGCCCTGCAAATGGAAAACAGTATTAGAATTGTTACAACGGATACTGCGGCAGCCAGGGTGGGACTTAGTGACCGACTCCGAAGCATCGATCGAGAGAGACCAGCGCACGCGCCTGAACAATCTAGGGGATTGCCCGTATGCTGCGGAGCGTATGAATAAGATGCGCCTATGTTTCCACTGATTTCTCCTTCATTCCTGTGTGGAGGCGAAAGTTCCAGCGTCTCGTCAAGCTCTCGGTCCCCCGGCTGCACCGTGCCGAGAAGAGCAAAAGACATTATTCCCTAGTCAGAGATTGTCTTGTCAATCAAAATACTAGCAAAGTTAAAATGGATACTATTTGCATGGGATTATACACGCATCGTCAAAGGAAACAATACAGTACAAATTCGCAGTTCCATTTGGGGTGGTCGTCGGGGTTTTGTGGGCCTGCAACCACTACTATCCAGCCTGGTACGCAGATAAATCTCCGAAACCGGCCAATTTAAGTGAGCCTTTGAAAAATAAACCCGGTACTGCTGACATCATTACCGAAATAGTTGATACCTGTCTCGATATGAGCAAAATTTGTGCTCTGGACCAAATGGAACAACTGGTACTGCCTAGCATGCAGACCGCACCGGTGGAGCTGCTGCTGCCTCCGATCGAGAGGCAGCTGCTGGCACACACGCAGCTGATCCAAACAAGCATAATCACCACAAAGGGTGCCTTCTGCATTTATCATATCATAATTGATGTTAGTGTGCGTTTACTCAATTTTGCATCGTTGAGCAGTTCGCGGTAGTCACTCTAATACCCGAGATAATACCGGTACATCGGTATTTCAACACCTCCATCATAGCGCCCCTCAGCAAGCAGAAGAAAGGGGTTTATTCTTCCAGTGAAGCTGTACTTCTACATTTTGAAGTTCTCATGGGTAATTTCGCCTGAAAATTGCGGTTGCGGCTCTGGGCTTGTCGTGGCACGTGTCCCGTAGCCCAGGGATGCCTGTAGGCAGCTCAGTTGGCGTAGTTCAGGAATCCGCATCCATTTCTTCAGATAAATACTCTACATTTGCAGCTCTACTGGACGTTCTGAACTCGTGTGCATCCTAGACTTTAAGAACCCGCCGTTATCGTGCGTGTAGCTGTCTTCGAGTCGTCGTCGAGTTACACGAAACATCTTTGCTGTTCTTCTGCGTAGTGCATTTCTCCATAAATGGTGTATCTTTGGGGTGACTCCGTCCCACTACAGGGTGTAAAATACAAGTGCCAATAAGTACAACTCGTCTTACGTAGCAAGGCGACACACCCGATAGTGGACAACTACGTGGGTATCGGCGACAGACCTACTTACACACAGTTGCAATGTGTCAGTGAGGCGAACAAGCTCTACACCCTATTAAGCCCTCTATACATTCTGCCTCTGCTGCCGTGCTGTCGTTCCGTCGCAACATAGAAACGGGTCTAACGAACTAACGTTTGCAAAGAAAAGGATGTTAAGCTATATGGCCGCATCCCGCTCAATCGAAATGTTGCACACAACAGGTGACCTACCGGTCTGTATCAACCTGTCAGCCAGCATGATAACCATGCGCCACGAAAAGTTCATCATCTTCCCTCCATGGATCCCAGATAGGGTCCTGGAATTCTTTCGGAGAACATTTAGTAGAGAACAACAGTCGTTTGAGCACAATCACCTCATCTGCAGGTGGGCGGCCCCCCGTTTTGTAGATATTCAGGGCAGCAAGTAAACGGTTTGCAAACTGACGAATGTACCTTTGTGTGCATCCCCTGCTTCGCTCTCCGCGGAAGTCGTAATTCGTGTCAAAAGCTGCAATGAATTCTTCCCACCACACAGGCTTCTGCATGCGGTCCCCCAGAACTTGAAAGGTGCAAACAAGGGAGTCAAGTGCCAAGAAGGACCTCCCTAAGAATTCATTGGCAAAAGAGGGACTCGTCAACCTCGGACACGTGAGCGCATTCACCCATGCGGCACGAGCCAAAGCCTCCGATGCGGTAATTAGATTGTCCGCGTCTTCCTGGTTAAGCGACTGCTTCGAAAACAAGCTTCTCAAGCTAAGCATCGGCAGGTAGATCATCGTATCGGTCAACTTGTCTGCAAAAATAGCAGAAGGCCGGAACTTTTTAGGGACGACCCCTTGCTGCAACACTGGAATCCGGACATACGGGTGGTTGTCGGCTCCGTAATCACCATCTTGTCTGCCGCTAGGCTTTGGTAACAGTCGAACCGCTGGAGCTGCCCTATGCCGCACGTAGCCTCCTGATCCGGTATTAGCGACCCACGATGGTGGCTCCTGTCCCGATGCTCCCTGAATATGACTGGTTGTCGACGTTTCACCTATCCATGGACTGGGGTCCAGAGGTGAAACTGCCTGGCCTGGGCCAAAGCTTCCACTAGGTGCATGCACTTGAACATTTTGCCAGTAAGTATGTCCGCCAGGGTAGGCCACAACAAAACCCTGAGTTTTCGGATACTGACTATGTGGGTGCACTGGGCTTTGCCCTGGAAAAGTGGGTGAGGCGGTGACTCCACCTCCCGTCTGCTGTCTACTTTGCATCGATTCATAGGACGATGCCGCCTCGTAGAACATAGACACTAGCTCTGCGATGCGCCTTGACCGGTCGCCGTGAGCAGATGGAGGCGGTTCTGGACGCGAAATTCCGAGCTCTGCCTCGAGTGCTAAGCAGTCCTCCAAGATTGCCTCTTCATCGAAACCCTCACCACTATCCGACAGCTTACGTCGGGTCACACCTGTCGCCTGTGCTCTGCTACGGGATGCTGCGCACTTTGACACAATCATCAAAATTGCGAAGATTGAAATGGTGGCAGCCAGGGAAACGAGAAAAGATCGCTTTTGGGACCATCGCCGGGAATGCCTGCGAGCGGCGTGTCGGACCACTGAGCTCCCAGTGGGCTGGTCCAATAAGGGGAGGGAAACCTGGGAAACGGTGTCATAAATTTCATTTCCCATTTGAATCAGGGGTGATTTCAAAGGTCCGTCATGCTATTCACTATTAGGGGTTCGAGAAGAACGGCATTTGGAAGCACCGTCCTTGTGCAAGACACGGCCCGGGTCGCGGGCGAAGCTGTCGGCACACCTAAATTATTTCATTCCTCTCTCAAGTTATGAAAGGAATGAAACATGCCAGCCATAAGAAATCCGTGCATCTTTACCGAAACTCTCCAACAGCTGGTTCATGTGTGCTTCTGCTGCGGTGCTTTGGTGAGCAGAGCAGCCAGTTCACTGCGTCGCGTCACTCCGATGCACACAGGATAGTTTCACACTATATTGTAGAAGGTCTCGTTAAGGTGGAGAGAGCCTTTAGAAGACAACCAGGCAACTTGATTAAGCGTTCAGGAGGGCTAAATTCCGCGGAATCTGTTTTTTTCCAGTGCCTTTACCCAAGCCGGGACTCCATGCCCAACTGCACCTAGATCGCCGGCGCTCACTCTACACAACCGTTTCCGAATGCCTCCAGCATGCTTGTTTGCAATATTAGTGAACTTACGCTTGGATCGTTTCGCTTTTCATCTCCTTCGGTTGCACACAGTTGTGGGGTGACACAAGTGCTTGCTCCCCGTGCATACGCGACATCGCAGGTGGTCTGCATATTTATATCCGGATGGAGGCAAGCCTTAGTAACTTACACAGCTGAAAAATGTTGTTCGCTGCAGTCTTATTGGTATATGCGCACTCACTCGTCTCCCTACTCCTTAAAACAGTTGCGGTTACTTGGCGTCGTATTGTCCACAGGTTTTCATGCAGCTGAGGTGCGCTCGTTAGCGTAACTGAGAGGCGGGCAGTTACACACGAGTTCAAACGCTTTGTGGTTTGAGAGTGATGAGGTGGTTTAGCTGTCTTTTGCCGCTTTTAGACTCCTATGCACTGTTGACATCTTTTGGCATGGCAATGATCGCCGAAAGGGCGCACACGACAGAGGGCTGTGAAAGAAACCCGAAGAAAGAAACTCAGCCATAGGTGGTTCTCTGAGATGCACAGATTACGAAGGTACAGCTAAGGTTCATGAGGAGCTCACTTGGCTTTGCGAATTGCTTCGCAAGTACACTAGGGCTCATATGAGCAATCGCAGTAACCTGTTGGCTCGGTCAGCTGCAGCTATAACTGGGACGGACTTGTTTATAATGCGTAGTAAACTACAACTGCTGCTGCAGTGAGGCAGCTGCGCAACACGGGCGAAGAGACCGACCGTTGAGACCCCCTTCAGCGCCAGGATGGGACGAGCAGACAACGTTTGCGCTAATGCTTAGACGAGCCCTTGCCTTGGTCAGTTGCTACAACCAAAGCTATACACATTCTGTATTGTCCCTCCCCATCAGGATGTTGGAAGCGATCAGCCTCTCGTCCGTAAAGTAACTTATTTATTAGTTAAGAGACAGGCTTACCACACAAAGCCGTAGGATCCTTGTGGCAAACCATGCCGATCCATAGCTCTTTGAAAGCAAAAAAAAGCAGTATAACTTGCACGGCCTCTGCCTGAGAGGAACCGATGCTCCATAGAATATGGTTTAATGGGGATTCACCTATGCAACCCCGTATACGCCAACATCGAGCCAAAGCACTGGTGTTGTGAGAGGAGCGGGAAGCTCTCTGGAGAGAGGACCGCACGCCTGCCGGCACTGCAGATTAAACATCCGCAGGTTCCAGCGGCTCCCGCGTTATTTCTGCCAGATAGACCGTGTACGCCCTCAAAGAGGCTGAACTCTCGGAAAAAGCAAAGCACATGGCCTGCAAATGGACCTTTGAGTTACTCGCGCACGAAGCAACATATGGCCCTAGAAATAGCAGAATACGCCATCGGCTGCTCCCCCAGCTATTGATTCATGAAGCGTGGCAATGTACTGCCGGAGCCGCAGGGCAGCAATCCATCCTTCGGCGCCCGCGGCGAGGAAACGCTTCTTGCCGCAAAAGTAGTAAGTTCAGCCCAGACACAGGCAAAAGCTGTCGCTTTAGCACAGATGATGGCCTTTGCTCCATGCAGCACAACCTGCAATAGCTCGCCTGATGTGGCGACAGCATGCGCATGGAATTCTAATGGGCAGTATGCAAAGGAGAAACAACCCGCCGATAAGCATCTGAGACATGAGGACCGCAGTACACTGCTCATAGACAGACAACAGTGCCACAATAGAGCGAACACAAACCTGGCTAGTTACATTGCGAGTGGCACTGTGGAATGCCTTTCCCTAAATGCGTAAAGGTTTGCTTGTCTCTGTATTTTCTCAGGAGCTCGAAAATATACTTTATCATGCAGATGTCCCTGCAGATACGTCAGCTATCTAAGACAAACGGCGTAGAGGCATTCCCGCCATCCTCATATCTCTTGGTAATATTTAAAAGAATCAAATCGTAGGCAAAGATTCATGTCTCACAAACGAAAAGTGATCATCTCTGAAAGGGTCCCACCGGGCATCCTGAAATAACGGAGGCGACAGCGGAGAGAGAAGAAGCTCTAGTTTCAGGTCGAGCACTTCTCCAAGAGGAGGGCGGTTCCCCGTTTTGTAAGTTCGCAAGGCCGCTAGCAAGCGGTTTGCCAATTTTGTGTTGAATACAGTTGTTCTTCGAGCAAAGTGACTTGGATATGGCAGGGAGTATTCTGTGTCAATGGCTTCTACAAGCTTATCCCACCACAGATGTAGTTTCAGGTGTTCCCCCAAAAGTTCAACTGCTGACACCAAGGAATCCAACTCCCAGAAAATGCAGCCCAAAGCTGCACTCGCGAAAGTGGGTCTCACTTGTCTAATGCTTTCATTCGCTTTGAGCCACAAGTAGTTCGCCAACTCCCGTACTATTACCACGACCTCATCCACATCTTTCTGATTAAGTGCTTTCTGAGCAAATAAGCGTCTTAGTTCGAGTAAATAGGGGGTCGACGATGCACTCTTTTTGGTGGAAGCAAATATTTCCGACGGGTCGAAGTCTTGAGGCACAACGCCGGCTTCCACTACTGGCAACCGCAGAAACGGATGGCTGGCAAAATTGCTTAACCAATGGGGTTGCTCTTTGCCGTCACGAAGCGGTCGATATGCCGAAGCTAAGCTGACAGCAAGTGACAGTTCTTCCCCCTGCAACGGGGTACCTGCGATCCATGACGAGTCTCGTTTCTCTACCACGCTCTGCTCGTTTACAGTGCCTGCATACCCTGATACCCACGCATCGGGTGTCAGCCCTGGAGCCACGCCAGGAGCATAGTCTCCAGAGTAGTTCAGCAAATGGACGGAGGGTTGAAGCGCCTGTCCGCCGCTTCCAGACGGGACATTCGCTTGGCCTCCTATTAAATGTCTGACTGTACCCGTCTGTGTTGCAGCAGGGAATCCTCCGAAGGAAGGGCCTTCACCTAGCGCCTGTTGTACTTGTTGTTTCGACTCATACTCTGCTGCAGCGTCAGAAAAAAAAGCAACCAGCTCCGCAATCCGCCTTGACCGGTCTCCGGAGGAAGGTGCACCTGCTTCTGCACGAAAAATCCCTAGCTCTGCCTCCAGCGACAAGCATCCCTCCACGATGGAGTGTTCTTCTTCATCGATACCCTCAACACGATCGGACAGCCTGCGGCGGGTCACCCGTGCCGAGTGTTCTCTGGCCCCTGCAGCTCGTCGCTTGCTGCTGGCTGCTGTGCATATGGACCAAAACAATAAAACTGCGAGGAGAGGTATGGTGAGATTCAGAAAAACAGAGTGGGACCGCTTTCGAGACTGAGCTCTGAAGTAGCTCCGTTTTTCTGCTGGGACAGACGCCGTCCTAGTCGCCTGGACAGGGCTTGGTGAAGAGGAGAGATCCGGAAGTACTTCAATGACTTCATCTCCAAAGTTTGTGTGTGGTGATTTCATTGCTTCGTCATTCTCCTCGCTTCCCCGCCTTTCGAAGGCAATTGCCGGCTGCATTTGAATGACTATTCATGCACATGCAAAAACACAAGGGTTAAGGAGATGACGGACGTTGAAGGACGAAATGCATCTCTCATTCTACACAAACTGAAAAATTACCGAAAGCATATTCATCCTTTACAAAACTTAGCAGGCCCTCCGTCGATGTTTCTGTTGGGGTGCCCGGTTAAGCGAACACCTCCTTCCTATGCCCTGCATGCGTAAGCGTTCACTAAAATACTCCTGCTTGTATTATTCTCTATTTTGTTCACTTTTTTCTGCATTTAAGATCAAGAATTTGCCTTGATGGTGGAGACAAAAGCTTTTGGAAAGCGGCTACGACAATCCCATCCGTATCCTGCAAGGAGATGATCGCTGCTTGCCCAACGCCTCCGGACAGTCCGAAGCTGGCATCGGCTGTTTTTCAAAGAGCTATAACTGGCTCAAGAATTTAAACTTTAAAAACATTTTAACAGCTGCACTGTGCAGGACTGGTGCCAGTTCGTTGCCCAGCTATTGGATTCTTCTCACCAAGTAGCACGACTCGAGCTTCACGGAGGAGCCGTCGCTGCTGATTTTCAGTTCTTCGGTGGGCTCAATACAACACAAAACAGCCTGTAAAACTTATAACTTCTGCTTCTAAGTACGTTAATGGGTGTCTTCTTGACTATCCTCGCGTTAGCAGTACGCCAGTGACCGGCTATGGTCCATCTGGTCCACTGGACCCTTAAGCAAGCAATGTGAAAAATCGTGCCTATCTCCAGAAGAGCCCGTACTGTTTGCCTTCTGACTCCATCTTACGTTTCTATTTCGATTGAATTTGTTTGTTTACTTCGCTTCCGGCTGGGCGTTTGCAGAACAAAACAAAATCCACAAAATACAGAAACTCCGCAAGTCTTGAAGTTGCGGGGCCCGTGTTTTTTTTTATCTTTCGTAGACATTTCTTTAGTGCTGCGGCTCTTTGAATGAAGGTACGGAGCTTCAATGTACACAGATCAAAATGGATCGCCGGAACGCCTCTGGAGATGAATGGCGTTTCACTGTGCAAGAAGGTAGCGTAGGCACTCAGATGCTCATTCCCTGCACATTTGTGTTCTCCGAACACACTGAATACTCTGCAAGGAACTTGCACCCATATCTGCTGGTGCTTGTACGCAGTTGAGAGAAAGACTTGTTAGTGGTGGAGGTAGACCGCTCGCGGGGAAAAAATTGAACTGCAACGGGGCATAGATGCATCACATACTAAAATTAGCTATCCTAAATGTAGAATACGTATGTGGCCTACAGTAGCTTTCAACGTTCCGTTTCTGTCAGCACTGCGCCGAACCATAAACCCTTATAACCGCCAATCCTGTGGCATCGGACACGTACCAACACGTGAACCCGTACAAACAACTGCCTGGCTTATCTGCTATTAAGAAAAACACTCTCCCCACTGTCCAGGAATTATGCTAAACGTGAACTGCAAATATCCCAAGTCTGACTACACTGCACAGTGGGCGTTCGCCCGCAGAGGTGGACAACACAGTCTTGTCGCAGGGACGTTTCACTGTATCCTCAATGAGCTTTTCAGCTTCTGCCTGATATAAAGTAAACAGCCTAGTTTGCAATGCCAGTTGTTAAAATGGAAAAGTAAGCGGCAACCTGTTCACACCGGTACAGAGCCTTGCGCCAATGGCTGCTCGCCCTGCGGTTTCTATGAACCTCGCGCATTGCATACGTGTCGACACATGCTTCAATATCTGCGAAAAAAAGCATATCCTAAGAAGAATGCCCAGACGCAGAAGTGGCCATGCTGCCGGAAAACCGTCTACATTGTCGGTGGACAGATCACAGTCTGCATGTCGAGAACGGAACATCCACAACAAATTCCAAACAAATTGCAACGTTACTGAGAAGGCGTACGGGCCAAGTACACGAGACGGGGGATCATTGTGTATGCAGTGGAAAACTGCGAAGTGTCATATGTAACAACTCCTGTTGAAAGACTGCACTGACGCCACACCAATGAAACCTCCAGTTTTGCTTGTACGCGTTGAGACTGGGTATTGTCTAGGAATACTGCTTCTCAGGAACGGTTCCGCTGAGTCACCACAGTACAGAGGCGCTGTAGGAAGCAAAGTCCTGTGCAGCAGCCAAGGAAACTTCGCACAGAGAGGAAGCAGAGGCGCTGCCGCGTTGAACAGCTAAATTGTAACATCAATGAGGCCTATGCTTACGAACTTAAGACACCGCCTCATCGTCTCGCCACGCGTCAAAGTGGTGTTCCTTGAATCGCCTATGCGTATATGGTGAGCAGAGCAGAAGCCGCTTAAGCCTAAGCACTTCCATGAGGGGTGGGCGTATTCCTTTTAAATAGATACGCATCGCATCAAGTAGACGGCCTACCAGTGCTCTTTGGACTGTAGAACAGTGCCGGCTGTTCCTGCTTAGCCTTGGCATACGAATCTCCAAGACGAACCCTGACGCAAAGCGATCCCACCACTTGTCAGTGTGCATGCTTTCCCGCAGAACATGCATTCCAGAAACAAGGAAGTCGAACGCCAAGAAGTACTTTCCCAGGGTAGGGAGATCGAGAGCGAAGTTAGCATATGCAGACCTTAAGCGCAATCTTAGCATTAAACTGTACACTAAGTCCTCCAGACCATTTACAAGGTAATTAGCTTCATCCTGGTTGAGGGTCGGCTGGAGAAACATCACCCGTAATGACTTGAAAATGGCGTTCAGCTGCCGAAATTTCCGTCTGTGACCAGGAAAAGCAACAGTTTCATCGAAATCCCTTGGTACAACGCCCTCCTCAAGTACTGGCAACCTTACAAAAGGATGGTTTTTAATACCTTCATCTTCGTTTGTTCTGGTGTCCTCCCCATGGGGCAGCTGAACTGCCGCTTCGTTTGTTCTGGTGTCCTCCCCATGGGGCAGCTGAACTGCCGCCGCTTCTGTTGACGGCGCTTCGCTTCCTGCATCGCCACCTCCAGCTTCCCATGATGCCTCTCCCTGCTCCTGCGTCTCATGCGCAGCTAAGATATCCGGAATACCTTCCAGCCATGCATCGGGGTGGAGGGCTGGGATCGTTCCGCCGCAGTCATCGCCGTGAGTGGGTAGCGGCAGCCAGCCCGCATAAGCAGCACCCTCCTCTTGCTCCAGCAAACCCCGCTCTCTGAGAGGCGTCTCGAGTGGTTGCAGTTGGGCTTGACCAAGGGGGTTGAGGCGAGAGGGAGCCTCACTGATAGTCGTATACGTCCCGTGTATCGATTGGTGCGTTGCGGCAACTTCGGAAAACGTCGACACCAGCTGTGCGATCCGGCTGTACCGGTCACCGGAAGAAGAGGGAGTTCCTGTCTGTGGAATCCCTAGGTCTTCTTCCAGCGCTAAGCAACCCTCCAAGATGGAGTCTTCAACTTCGTCAGCACCCTCACCTCCGGCTGCCAGCCTGCGACGGACAGCTCCCGGCGCGCGTTCCCTATTGTAGGCTGCTGTGCAAACGGACCAAATAACTAAAAATGCAAAGAGTGGAATTGCCGCAGTCAAGTAGAGAAGAAGCGACTGCTTTCGAGACCGTGCCTTGGGAAACCATCGGAGCTGACTTTGATGGACCACTGGACTCCCAGGAACCTGAATGGGGGGTGGAATGCCGACTTGAGAAATTGCTTCCTCAACAATAAATTCGTTTTCTAGTTGCGGAGGTGATAATTTCAGAGCTCCGCCTTGCTGCTCGTCTCCCGGCATGTCGAGGACACCAGTAAGCAGCATTTTGAACTCCTTTGTCGGCGTGAGGACGAAGCTCCCCGAACAATGGTTTAACGTAGCATTTCCCCTCAATTACCCGTGCAAATAAAAAGGAAAGAAGGAACTAATTCGCAAAAGTAAAGGCTGCTTAGTTCACAAAAGTAAGAAGTCCTCGGTCTAGCTCTGCCCGCTCGGCCGCCACGGTGACTTCATCGCTGCTAACCTCGCAGCACAAGAGTGTAGCACGATAGTTGCTGCTGCCATTGCATTACTGTTTCAAGCTATGTACATGTTTGAACTGGCTTTAGTATGTCTTCCCTACTACCGTTGTAAAGGTTTATCCTGGCTTTAACCTACTTCCCCCCACACTGTGGCTACAGGCCTCCACTGGCCCTAATATGCTTTCCCTTTCAGTGTCAATACAGTTTTCTGCTTGGCTTAATATATTTCCTCATTCACTGTTGACAGCATTCTGATGCATCCTCATGCGGAGGAGAGCCACAGGAGGTGAGGGGTGGCTGCAGAGTGCCTCTGCAGCCACTCCCGCGTGAATGCGAGATATTAGATCGACTCTGCGAACTCCACTCTGTAATTTGGAAATATCTAAAAGTGCGCTCTCTATACACCCTAAACCTATCTGGCCGCAGATGTCCCCCGCACCCTAACAGGACTGGCATTGCCTATGTCCCCCCTCTGGCTGACGTGATGTATGCTCTATACATGCGCCGTAGGCACTGCTCCAGGTGTTGCGACAGACTTAATACGACTTTGCATAGTCATACCTTTGTGTCCACCAGGAATTATGCAAAACACAACCGCCTGCAATAGGAAGACGGTGCTGCAGCGCGCATTGCTAGTATGCAAGCCACAGTAGATGCAGCCACGCATTGTGGGGGATCCCTAGGGTCCTCTACTCTGAACCGCACGATCATACTACCTGCAGCTGCAGAAGCAACTAGATCGCGCAAAATGCGGCGCGGATGAAGTAAGTAAAAAGAAAGGGGCTGCTAATGGCCCCCATAGGAGCATCCGCTTCTCTAATCAGCGCACTTCAACACTTGAATCCTTCAGATCTGCAAAACAAATAGAAGCAGATCTGGAGGCTCCTGGGGATTGCTCGTTCGAGCCACTTCCCGCTAAACTCAAGTAGATATATAGGACAGCATTCGTATTAGCTGAGCACTGAACTGCATGTGCTGTAAAGACACACGCACCATGAAGGTGCACTGATGCATCACCTCTGCATCCCTTCGCCGCAGAAAGGGCGCAAACGGATGAACCACATACTTGTTATTACGACCACTGGTCAAGCCCCACAGGGGTCCATCTTGACCAAGTGGGCCTCTACTGCTGCTTGCGAGCAAATCCATTGTGCATTGTCTATTCCTTCAGAAGAGATCCACGAAGAGAAATGCACAGCGGCATTCACAACGCGTCAAGCGCCGTTAACGAGTTCATGCATCTGCAGAACTGTTGGTAGCGCGCTATATATATATATATATATATATATATATATATATATATATATATATATATATATATATATATATATATAATGTAAATATTCCAATGATAGCAAGCATAATGTGGTTAAGACATAGTACAGTTCCAAACTAGAACTGCGAATCTCCGGGCCCAGAAACTCTGGTTGGCCACTGGCGTTGTTGCCGTGGGCCAGTAGAAGATGATAGTCTCGACACCGAGAAATACCCAGATATGCAGAGCAGTTGCTCTTGCAGCTGTTTGCACATACTTCCGCTCCGATGGATACGCCCCCGCTGACAACGAAAACTCCTCGTCACTCTTGACCGGAGAGAACTCTTCTGAACTCAGAAGCTACGGGTACAGTACCACCAACAAGCAGGCCGAATATCGGCGTGAAGCAAACGAATCGGCCTCAGTGGAGCATCAAAACAAGAAACCATAGATATAGCATTTATTTTAAAAATATATTCAATACTTCTTGTCATCCAACAAATAATTCTACAGCTAGGGGAGGCCGAGGACGCGCCCCTTCCCGCCTCGACCCAACGAAACCCCTAATCCAGTAAAGCTGCCGCATTTACATCTTCTGCCGCGTTGTCCTAGAAGATGAAAGCCAGGTGCAGTGAACAGTGGCTTAGTCTACGAAGATTTTGTCAAAGACGAAGGAAACTGAACAGCAGTCGCCACGCATTCATTCATCGTGATCTTCATTTCCCCCAATAGGACAACAGGGGAGTGCACCCTGCGTTTTCCAAAAATTAATATCATCTGCTCTCCAGGGGTCCCACTGTGGATCTCTGAATCGCGCAGGTCCATGCTTTCCAAAGAAAAGCTGTCTTTTCAGCTCAATAATAAAATGCGCTGATGGACGAACCCCCATTTTGTAGATCTTTATAGCAGCAATTAGGCTGTTGGCCAATCGTGTGTTAAAACGTGCGCTTTCGCGGCATGTGGGATTTGGGTCAGAGAAATAATAGTCTGAATCAAATGAATTTATGAACGTTTTCCACCATGGCGGCAGCTTTATTGAAGTGTAGAGAACCTGAATTGCAGCCAATAAGTAATCGAACATCAAGAAGTACGTCCCAAGGGTTGATGCTGCAAACAAGGGACGAGTCTGTCGGACGCTTCCTCTCGCTCTACGTGCTGTTTTATTCGCTAGCTCCTCCACAGCATCGGCGAGTTCATCCGCCTCCTCTTGATTTAGTGTTTTCTTAGCAAACAGCCTTCTCAAGGCAAGAAACCGAGCTTGAGCCGATGTGTTCATTTGCACTATGCCAATCGCCCCTGCTTCAAAAAGGTTTTTGGGAACAACACCTGGCTCCAGCACCGGAAGCCGCACAAACGGGTGACTCTCAATAACAGAAATATCCATTAGTATTTGGTCACTGGCGGCGGGGCGCGGTTGTATGGGTACGGGTTTCCGTTTTCCTCTTGTGGTTTCTGAACTACCACTGGATGTCCCAACGTCCAGGTCCTTCCATTCCGGCTGCGTACTGAGTACTGAAACAACGTCAGCCCAGGCGTCCGGGTCGACAGCAGAAGGCGCATCATTCGAACCCTCTCCTCCTGAAGCTGCCGCCGCTGAAGTCGTGGGAAGTTCTGGAGCACTTGCGCTTCCTAGCAGCTGGTCCCCTGATGAAGAGTCAGTGATGGACCCAGCATGCTGATGAACTGCTTGTACACCCCGCTCCACTTGCCTTGCGTACATCGCTTCATGTTCCGCAGCAGTCGCGGAGAAGAGCGACGCGAGCTCGGCGATCCGCCTTGACCGGTCGCTAGTAGAAGGCAGGTGAGGATCAGTAGGGGAAATTCCAAGCTCCTCCTCCAACGCCAAACACTGTTCTATGATGTAACTCTCATCAATATCCATTGGCTCACCACCTTCCGCCAGCCTCCGGCGATTCATCCCTGTCGCCTGTTTTTTGTTTGTGTGCCCAGCCCTGCACGCCGCCAAAATAAGTAAAGTCGTCAGAAGCGGGAATGTTGCGACAACAAGCAACGAAAAGATCGACAGATTGCGAGTTCTTCCACTCGGACGATGAGCGGCCCGGGCCTGCAGCCGCCACGAGGCCGAGCCAGGGTACGGCAAAGGCGTTGCTGCACCTTCGTCAACATTTCCGTTTCCGTGTGGGAAAAGTGGTGAAAAGACATCCGATTCAAGTTGGTTACTCGCTGCCTGTTGCGTGTCGACGACGAAGGTACTCATCGCTCACAAACGAAGATCGCTCAACGCACGGCAGTAGGGGTGTTTCTAAAGAGATCAAACGCTCCTAAACTCCTTATCCATGCGACATTGTTGAAAAAAAATTCATAAGAAAAGGAACACAAAGGATGATCAGCAAAGGGTTGTGAACGACGATGCCCCCAGCAGCTTGCCGTGAGCGCGAAGGCCGCCACTGGGCCTCATGAGGAGCCCCTGCCTAGTCTTGCTGTTGCTTTCTTTTCTTCTGTTGGAATAAGCTGTTTATAGGGATATCAAAAGGTATTTTATCGAGGAGACTTTGCTGCAACTGCATGCAGTATTTTGTTCGGCTCTGTAGTTAATACATATACAACAAATCTGTCGTTGCTATGCGACTGAGTCGATCCGGGTCGGCCGCCGCCGAGGGCCTCAGGGTTCTCAGAAATACTGACACGTACCCCCGAAACACAAATTTCTTCTGCTACGCGAAATTTGTGTTTTATTTCATTCATTATCGACTGATGTTATAAACAGCTGAAATTCTACTCTCACCAAAAGTGGCTGTTCGTGCAACCCTCGATTCGTGGCTGGCGGTTTGGCGTTCTCGCCGTGGGGTGCTTGTCTGTATCATAACAAACCCAAATACATCTGAGCAACGAGACAAAGAAATATAGAAAAAAAGAACTTGGCGAGATACTCTACTTAATTCATGTTTGAATTCTCCTCATAAGAACGAGCAGCTCTGCCACCCTCCCCTCACCTGGGCATCCACCGAGTGTGCAGGG